TTAATCAAACTTTGAATGGTATAGCTTGTTCAATTGCATATGAGGTTGATACTGACAGTCTATTGGCTTACGTTTTGGCGAGTTCGCCTTCTTCGCAGCCTAATAAGGATGGTAGTCGAGCTCATAAGTATCCGACCAAAAATCTCCACACACCTATCAATCATCACGTATTGATTAGGTGGTGTTAAAGATCTAGTAGGTGTGTGGAGGTCAAGATCGGAAGCGCAAAGCTACAAGGTAAAGCCGTAAAGAAAGCAGAGGCCAAAGCAGCAGCACGCATATCAGATGTTGAAGCATCTCACTTTCCGAGTATGGAGCATGCGATGGCTCAGTGGCAATCCAGGTAGTCGAGCGGGCACTGAACGATCTCGTTGTATTTGTAAATACTTCTTGATTGATTGATCCAACGGGATGGCTGCAGTGCGCAGGTTGATAAAAAAAAGGTGCCATACCATTTCTTCTTGTCCTGCCATTTTCTTGTCTTCATCTTCGTTTCCTTCTTTTACTTTTTACTTTTTTTTCTTGTTTTTGCTCCTCGTTTCCGGCGCAGCGCACGAAGGCTATTGATTGTGACGCGTGCATTTCGTAAGAAACGCGCAAAGTATGAATGCTGCCTTATAGATATCTTGCAGTCAATCATGGACATTTCGACTGGATGTAACTTCCATAACATGGTCTAAAACAGTTTGACTAATCAGATGCAGTAATAATGTACCTTATTCGGTTAATAAATAAGCTTAATGCTTTGTATGCTCCATAATGCTCGTTGATGCTTTTTGCCACGCTGTGCACAGTATTTCATTTGAATGCACATTTCACACAACCTTTCATAATTTAGAGGGACCATCCTTTTTGTTTCTCTGACCAAGGAATGTTTCCATTGGTTTTCCTCCATTCATGCTGATTTTTTTAATTCAGCTAATTTCAGGTCGTGGAAGTAATGGCCATGCCAAACTCAGGGCTTGATATCAAAAATAGAACATGGCTGAAGATTCCTATACCGATGTCATTCTTAGGTATGAAATGGTTGGGGTTTCTCTGCTGTACGTATTTTATTCATTATCACTGCAGGCAAGGATCTGCTTGATTGGTTGCTAGCTCACGTTGACGGTCTGCTTGAACGGAAGGACGCTCGAAAGTATGCTGCTGAGTTGCTGAAGCGTAAACTCATCGCGCATGTCGTTAATAAGATTACCTTCACCGAGCAGTGTTACTATGTGCTCGGAGAGGAATGTGCAGGTATGAAAACGTTCATCTCTGAGGTCTTCATGGTTTTGTTGATAAGCTTTCATAGAGCCTCCTTTCAGACTTTGCGCGTTACCGAGCTCATCCTGAGGATCTGGTTGCACATCAACACGCTGCTGCACAACAACGGATGCAATGGACGACGACCGGACCCGGCGGTGCCAAGGCGCCGGCATCGATGGTAAGCGACGCGCATGGACGGATGTACGTCATGGACATTTGATCTTCTTGTTGTCCGAAGTCCTTCACCACCTCTGTTCCTGGTTGCTTCCTGCCTGTGCCCGTCTGTTCGCAACCAACATTATTGTACAATATGCACGCTGTCTTTTCACTCGGTCCTGTCCTGATTTTATGTGTTGTGTTATGCATCGGGCTCAAGAGAGATCAGAATAGGATTTTATACGTGTAGCTTCGTTTTCCTAAAGTTTCATTCATTCGTTGGGAAAACAAGAGATTAAAAAATAGAACGATATCACCTATCTAGCACCGGTGGCTGTGTTCCATTCTAAGAAATTACTATCAGTGCTAAGAATTCAAGAAGATTCGAGCATTACTACAGATGGGATATATTTGTGCTAGTTGGAGCATACCTCTCAACTGTGAGCACATCGTGGTGCGTTACCTCACTGATATGAACGGTTTTCCAATTGACTAAAAGGTGTTCTTACATGCCATCTGGAGCTAGTTTGGCTTGGAGTATGATTCATGCCACTAGCATTCTTGAACATAAATCCGTCCTTATTAATTTCTTCTGCTGGTGTTTTTAGTGGTGACCAAGTAGAACCTGATCTTTTCTTGTCAAGCGTTCCGATAAAGGATACATTCAATGTGGCCGGGATTGGGGCAGTCACCGAAAAAGGTTGGCGTACAGTTGGAAAATCGGGAATTAGGAGTGTCGCTAAGGTTAAGTGACTTTGGATCCGCTGAACGAGTTCACCAACTTAAACCTCGTTCTTTGTATTAGTGTGTCTCCATGAGGGCTGTGATTCTTGAAAGGTACTTTTTATTAGTGTGGACTGTTCGTTGCTCAAAGTTGGAGGGGTCATGTCTGCTTCAATGGGCATTGTAGCATTGAATCGAAGAGGAACCCCTTGGAAAATTGTATTTTTTTTCAAAAAAAGTCGGGGAAGTTTTCGAAAATTTCGCAGTTTTGCAACACAAATAGCTCACTAAGTCGATTTTTAAAACTCCGCCCTATAGGGATCTTCACACAGCCCCTCCGAAGGCCGAAGTTATGCTTTTAACAAGATTTTCCTAAGTTAGTGGCTGATGCTGCTTTAAAGCCAAAGGCTTTTCTTAACAAGCGCATTTGTCTGCCAAACCAGATGACAGAGTCATCAAATAGCTACGGTTTTTGATCAAATGTATTTGATGCATGTTTGTTGGCTGTACCCTAAGTTTCACAAATAAGATCTCCGTGATCAGCCGCCCGTGCTACACCCTTATTCTTCGCACCACTTCATAGTAAACTTGACCATGGATGTGATGCTAAATTTTGATCTAGTCACTCGGTTCGAAGGGATTTTACTGCTCGATCTTTATAGGAGTTAAGGCAAAACTCACGTGCTACTAATTAAGTCTGTGTACCTACTATTGATTCTATTAGGGTATATTGTTCTTAAGTTTTCGACCGGTCGATTAGCTGTAGTACTTTTCCTGGCTGTTACGCTTTCCGACAGCTACCGATTTGTGCATTTTCCTTCTCCCTTGCATTTTCTATGTCGTATCGTTGCATCTGTTTGTTATAAGTTTTGCTCAATTTGTGCTTTATAACAACCATCTGCTAAGCACTCAAGTATGTGTTCATGTGAAAGCACCATGTTCTTCTTTTTCTAAAAACTTTCAACGAAATGTTGAGCATTAAGGAGTGAAAGCGGTGCATTAATCAAGTTCAGTTTGACCTTGTAATTTTTAGATGTTGTCTAAATTTTTTAATAAATGACTTTTTACTAGCTGGTTCCGCTTTTATACAATGCTGTAGAAGTGATTTGGGAATGACAAGTAGGTGTGCAGGGCCTTAGGTTTATGGGAAATGGACAAGGGCTTGTTTCCCTCTGAATGCAAGGAATATGGTTAGTGTAGTGAGTGAGAAGAATGAGGGTATTTTTTGAGGTCACTTATTATACTTTATGTGCCTTTAAGAGCCTTCTATCAAAGATCGGTAATTCATCCAAAAGCAGAACAGTCATCGATGTAAGGCGCCTCACGCCAGCAATTCGAAGATCCTTAGAGCGCTTAACGAGCTGCCTTGACGAGCTGCATGTATAAGCTCTGGGATAGGGTCATTGGAGAACTAATTTCTTAA